TTTGATTGGATAGTATTTGCAAGGTTGCAGGTGCTAGGTCTTGGTTAACCACCTCTGCACAAGCTGGTCTTTCTTGTCAGGATGGCTTTAGGTGACAGGATTTTGACTGACTGTAAGTTTCCAGAAACAATTTTAAAATATATACACAGGGTGTTGTTAAGGAAGGTTTAGGGGCAATTTCTGAGAATCAGTCACCACCAAAGTCACATGCTTACTAGGAGTCTGATAAAACCACATTCCTCAGCATTACCTAATTCTAATGTGTGCAATATTTTATACAAATTTCCATCTTGTTACCTATGAAGCAGAAGTAAGTCTCAGAGTAAGAAGGAATTTGTCCTGCTATGGAATTTGGTATATAGCTCAATCAGACACTTTAGTCCTGTCAAGGTGCCTTAAGTTTTGATATGCTCCTTCTCAGTTCTTTGGAAAACAATTTGAGAGATTTTCCCCCTAAACTCTGAGGAGTTACCTTTGCCTTAGTTTTCTACCCCAGAGGGTTTGTTACTTTTGTCCAGGTTGATTGACATTTCCTAGGTAAACTGTAAACAATTTTTAGCTGGTTATTCTTTGGTCCTGGGCTGCAGCCTGCCCTGTGATTGCTTTGCAGGGATTGCTGAAGAGAGTATGCAAATGAGCTGGCTTAGCTACTATGCAAATGAAGTTTCTGTGGCCAACCAGAAAGAGACTGGTCAGTTTGTACCTTGAAATTGACAAGAGGTTGTGCATATATGCAGCCCAAAGCACAGAGGTTTTTCAGACAGAAAGAAGCAGGCAGAGAAGCAGCAGGAAGAAGCAGAAGGAAGGAAGATTAGAGAAGAAAGAGCAGAGAGAAGAAGCAAGGAACTTTCTAAAAGATCTATAACATGGGTTAAGGGCTGTAAGATTGAAGACAAAGGCCCAGAGAGTCTCGGGGGCAGAGTTGGTGGTGACAGGCCCATAAGGGGCCCTGTGGCACAGTTAGGGTGACAGGTGGCAGGGCCAAGAGAAGTCTGCCCAGAGGGGACTGAGAGGAGGCCTGCATGGCTGAGAGGAACTAAGAAAGCTGCCTGTTGATGTTCTGTTCCACACTTTTCCTCCCTTTGATCAAGATCCACCTGTTAGGTCCTCAATCAAAATGCTTAGTAATGGTAGCCAGGCACCATAGAGTTCACTCCCATTCCTTGGCTCATGGCCTCTTACCCATCTTCAAAGCTGGCAGTGTAACATTTCTCTGACCCTCCTGCCTCCTTCTTATAAGGTTTGGACTTCTGGCCTCCAGAACTGCTAGAAGATGAATGTGTGTTGTTTGAAGCCTCCCAGTGGGTGGTGATTGGCTACAGCAGCAACAGGAAGCTCATACCTGCCTCCCAGCTGACTGGAAATGCATCAGCCTGGCCATCAGTGTCTATGAGAAGTCAGGTGACTCCTGGGGTTGTGAGGTGTGACATGGCATGCTGAAGTTGTGCAAGGTCCAGAGAAGGGTTTGGGAGTTGGCTGGTTAATGCTCTGAAAGGTCTCTGCCCGGCCAGGTGCTTGGATGAAGGTGGATACTCTTCCTGCTCTGTGGATGAGCCAGGCAGCCCGGGGGCGCCCAGCAGTCTTTAGTTCTAGACTCACTCCTGCTGCTGGCCTCAGTGACTGCCCTTGGTTGGACCTGTCTCTGCTGTGAATTCTTGGAGAATCCCCAGAATGGGAGCAGGAGCCTTTGGGGGTACAGAGTGAATTCAGATCAAAAGGCCCCATGTTGATGGAAAATTTTGGGAACAAATAAGGGTGATGGTTGAACAACATGATGAACATAATTCATATCACTGAACTGTACAGGGGAAGATTGTCAAAGTGGCAAACATTTTGTCATGTAGATATATATGCATCACAATAATACCCAAACCAGCTCCCTTCCGTTTATCTTTGAAGATGCTTAGACAAGGATGTGTTGCTTGGAACTGTAAGCCATCTTGCAACCATGAAGGCAAGGAAATGCCCAAGAAGCTGACTCAGAGCCTTCATACATTCTCCTGCTGAATGGGGGAGATCCTGGTGGTAAGGACTTGGTCTGACCCAGCTCTGAGTCCCCAGCACCCTCTGAGCCAAGTCCCTTGCCGTGGGCTGAAGTGGTAGCAGTGCTCATGAGCAACTGCCTGTTTCCAAGCCTCCCTGGTTCAGGCAGGTCACCAGGATCAGTTGTTCTTGAGTTGGCCCAGATGCCAGGTGTCCCTATGTGTGTAAGAACAGAACTGTGCTCCACAGTATTTCCAGTGGCTGAGCTTTCAGAATCAGATTGCCAGGCCTTTCTTCCAGTGCACCTCTGGGTGGATTTGAACCACCAACCTTTCTGTTAGCAGACAAGTGCACCTACTGTCTGCACCTCTCAGGGACTCAGTCCATTGAGTTTTAGGGAATCATAGGGACATGAGGTCAGTTAGAGGTCAGGGGTCACTCCCAGGGATCATAAAAGGGTCCTTGGGATATAAAGCTTAGAATAGCTTTCCTGAGCCACGAGACAAGGTTCATTTCTGGAACATTTATTGATGGGCTGCGAAGTCAGCTCCCAAAACTCCTGTCTTTGAGGCTAAGCAGATGTATAGGGAAAACAAACAACTCCATCCCTGAGTTCCCAGAAAGTAGCGAGGGAGGGAGGTGGGGTCAGATCACCCAGGTCTTGAACCCAGGTTGGAGGCGCTAGGATCGGGGACTTGGGGACTTGTGAGCCAATGCCAACAGTCAGGTCTGCCTGTGAGCGAGTGGGGTGAGATTAGACCCGGTGGGAGGGCAAGTGTCAGCAGTGGTGGAAATCGATGGCGGTAGGCGTATCTCAGGTGCACGGGGCCAATCATTGCTAAGGTGGGCGTGGCTACCCATTGCGAAGGCGGTTGCGTGTGTCAGCATCCGTGTTTCTTTTCGCAGATCCAGTTGTCCCTTAAGTTGCAAGGTGCGTCGTTCCACAGCCCCGTGTGCAGCATCATAACGCAGTTTTCCACACCGCGGGAGTCATTGGGCTCACCCTCGTTCCAGTGGCTGCAGTGGTTGGGGGGGGGGAGGATGTTGCTGAGGCTGGGCCTGGGGTCCAGCCTTCCTTCCCACGGTCTAGCCCGTTTATTTCTGGAGTCTAACCTAGGCACCCCGCCAGTCTAACTTCAGGACGCCCTGGGATATAACTTTCTTTAGCCAGTTCCTGGGGTCTAGCCTGAGCATCCCTGAGATGTGGCCTAAGAACTTTCCGGAATCTGTTCTGGCCTTACTCGCCAGGTGTTGGGGACCCCTACCTCACCTGAAGGTGCGGTGGACGCCGTCCATCCACTGGTAGCCCTGGATCTTGCCCTGGAGTCGTTCCGCCTTCAGACCCAGCCAGAAGCCAAGCCCACTCGTGTTCTGACTCAGGAACGTCTGGAGGGGGGGGGCAGTGTCGTCACTAGGACTGGCGTCACCCAGTGCAGTAACTCACGATGTCACACCCATGCGGTTGTGCTGAATCCCTCTAGTGGGCAAAGGGTCGCGCCCTCCCAGCCCACGTCCCGCAGCTCCCTGCAGCTCCTGCCCTTTCCAGCCCGCCCGAGGGTCCGCCTGGCCTGCGCAAGGGCATCCACGTTTTCTTGTGCAGGGGGTGGTGGGAGCGCTTGAAGGGTGGGGGATGGGCAAGTAAGGGGCGTAGTGGGTTCAGGGGTTGAAGGAGGAGATGGTGATAGTAACGCAAAAACGCAACTGGTAGCACTGCTGTCCAGTCGGATCCGACTCATAGCGACCCCTCCTTGGGTTTCCAAGGCAGTATCACTATGGAAGTAGATTGCCCAACCTTCCTTCCAGGAGTGGCTGGTGAGTTTGAACCGCCAGCCTTCTGGTTAGCAGTCAAATACCTTAGGCACTAGGCCACCAGAACGCCTGTGGTGATAGTGGTGACCAGTTTATAGCAGTGGGGGACTGGTGACACCAACCGTGGGGGTTCCACTGACTTGGCCGCCCCTCCCCCTAAGGCGGTAGCCTCAACTCTTGGGTTCATTTTGATGTCTACTCCTCTGACAGGGCCAGTATCCTCCACACCCCCTCCGCGCACCCCTTGTTGACGCCACTGGCGGAAGGGGAAGCTGGAGCCGGCCGTTTGGCCCACCTAGCCCCACAGGCGAACGGCGCTTCCTGTGGCCTGCTGCACACCTGTTCCTCCCAGCTGTCCACCATCACCAGGTGCGCGCCTGCGTCAGCGCAGCTCTTCTGCGCCTGGCCCCAGTAGTTCTGCTGCTGCGAGAAAAGGTAGCAGGAGCCCTGGAAGAGCACCCACGACTTGGGGCACGGCTCGCAGGAGTCTGCGGGGGTAGGCAGGGGTCAAGACCTGCCGGACAGCTCTCCGGCCAGACAGACCGAGAGAACGGGGTGAGCTAGACCTCCGGGCCCAGGGCCGGTGCCCGAGAACTTGGGCTGAAGTCAAAAGGGTGGGTAGATCAGAGGACCCGAGGCCCACGTGCAGAGTTCACTGTGCCCCACCCCATCCCCGCGCAGCGCTCACTGTTGCCCAGATCGGCGGCCTCCAGCGCCCGGAGCAGCTCACTGCGGACGTCCTCGCGGTCCCTGCCCGCCTGGGACACGTCCTTGGTCACTGTGGGATCAGGGGAGTCTAGATTATAGCTGGGCTCAGGATCAGGTGCAGAGTCATGCCTGAGTAACGGTCAGGACCCATGTCAGAGGTCAATGTCAGGTTCGGCGCTAAGGTCAAGAATGACATCAGGGTCAGAACGGTTAGAGCTGGGTAGGGTTCACTTGTGGTTGGGGTTAGGAGTCGTGGTCAAGGTCAGAGTCCGGGGGTTAGAGTCAGGATGGAGGACACGCTCAGGGCCAGTTTTCAGTATGGGGTCGGCCAGAGTCATAGTGGGGTCGGGATGTGAATCGAGGGACAGGTTATGGCCGCGGTCAGGGATCTGAAATCGTGGTCACTGCTCGCCCTCACCGCGCTCGCGCAGGTCATTCAGGGCGCTCCCCTGCTCTAGCAGCTTCTTCCGCGCCTCCCCAAGCTCCGCCCGCGTGGTCTTCAGCTGCGCCTTTGTCTCAGAGCCTGGAAAGGTGGTGGGGGAGGGGCGAGGGAAAGGGGGAGGCCTCTGAGACCCTCCCCCCCCCCCCCCCCGCACAAGCCACAAGCCCCGCCCATCCACGAACCCCGCCCCTATCCACCTCCTCCAATCCTGGCCACAAGCCCCGCCCACCCCCTCAAGCCACAAGCCTGGACCCAGCAGTCAGCTCACAGCAGGTCGTGCAGGCTCCGAGGTTTTTCTGCAGAACGCCCAGCTCCTCCGCCTGCCTCGAGGCTGGAACACACACACACACACACACACACTCACACACTCACACATACACCAACACACACACGCCGGGGTCACCTGCGGGGACTCATGGGCCTACCTTACCCATCCCGGGGCCAGACCCGGGACCGTGGGGTCCCCCACCCCATCCTGGCGCCACTGTTCCGCACGCACCGTTTGTCCTCAGCAGGTCCTGGTGGCCGAGTAGCTCCTCGCGCTCCTTGGAGGCTGCGGAGAGAGGGTGCTGCAGGTGCGGCCGGGGCACTAGGGAACCCTCTTCATGCCCAGGGGTGCGGGGACCTCGATCCCCGATCTCCGGACGACCAAAGGGGCAGACAGGCTTACAGTGCACTCACACCACCCAGAGGAGCAAAACAAAGACACAGATGTCTACAGGGGGACATGCACACACACACACATACGCATGCACACGCACACACTCATACCTGCACACATGTGCGTGCATACAGCATGAGGACCTACACAAACTCACACTTACTCACACTCATTTGCAGGCAGGAGTCTGGGACCCAGTTGGGGTACTGGAGAGGCAGGAAGTCTTTGTCCCCAGGAGGACAGGACACCTTCCTGCTGGCACTTACCTTTGGATAATAGGATGCTCAGAATGAGTGCCCATAAAACTGTGCCAACTACGACGGCAAGTGCCACTAAGAGGGACTTCCGACTCCAGAGCTCCCAGGGTCCCCAGTGCCCTGGGGAACACAGACGGGCCCTTGGATGACCCTGCACCAGGACTATGCTGGATTTCCGGATCCCCTTGGACTGAGCCCAGGACACTTGGGTCCCTCTCAGGAAACAGGTTCCAAGAGGTTCAGTAATTTACCCACTGTCACTCACCCCTAAGTAACATAGCTGGGATATGAACTTAGGTACAGCTGGCTCTGAGGTCTGTAGTGGCTCTCCTGCACCCCCTACCTGGACCCCCACTTGGTTCTTCCTCTTCTCCTCCATCAAACCCCAGACCACTGGCTCAGAGAGGGACCCTGTGAGGGACCAGAGAGGCTGCTCCATTGCCCATACCTCCAGGGACCTCTTTGGGACAGCTACCCAACTTGTTGTACCCAGAGTTGTCCATGGCGGTACAGGCACCCAGCCTCGGCACAGATATAAATTAGCCAACCCCCCCAACCCTGCTCCACCCAATTCTCCTTCCTTCCCATCTCCTCAGTCTCAATTCCTCCTACCAGGGACCAGTGACCAATTGCAGGGCTGGTCTCTTGTTGGGGCTGGGCTGTGTTTAGGGGCAGTTACAGCTTCCCTGGCTGCCATCTGCCAGATTGGGGCTGGCAGCTTAACTTTGGACCTGGGTCCCTGTCTATTACAGGTCTGGGCTGGGCTTCCTCTCAACAGAGTCATGCTGCACCCAGCCATGTTCCAGCCCTTACTGGTTCTTGAAAAACTCTCGTAGGGCCTGGCCCCCAGGCCAGTTCAGTTTTCCTTCTCAGCACTCCCCCACCCCGCCACCACTGGTGCCCAACACGGACAAGATCTGCCCTAACTTAATCCTGTCCCTCTTGGCCCTGAGGGAGGAAACAGATGTTTGTCAGGGTGCTGGTCAGCTAAACTGTTATTAGGCTCTACTAGTGGGTGGGGTGTTGATGGGAAACACTCAGGCATGGGTGTAGCTTCTCCAAATCTCAGTTTTCTCCTTTGTGAAAATGGGACAGTGACAGGGTCTCCCTCAAAGGGAAGTTGTGATCATGATATGGGGTTATACATGTCATACCATTCCAGGCATGTAAACAATACTCAATATTCATTCATTCTTTCAACAAATATTTATTGAATATCTGCTATGCGTGTGGCAGTGAATGTCTATGCCCACCAGTGAACAAAAGGAGCAAATTTTTCCTTCTGGGAGCTGACATGCTAGTGGGGGTTGGGAGAAGACAGACATTAAACAATGAACATAATAAGTAATTGGGAGAAAGGCGGAGCCATTGTTTAGGAAGCATTGAGATTCTGCTTATGGTGATGGAAAATTGGGCAATGGAAATTGGTGACGGTTACGCAGCATGATTAATGTACTTGGTGTCGTTAAATTGTAGACCTGAAAAAGGTTAAACAGACAGACGTTGTGTTATGTAAACGTATTTTACAACAATTAAAAAAAAAAAAACTTTTACAAACACAAAAAAGAAAAAGGTAAATTATGTAGCATAGTGGAGTCTCAATGAGGGATGACATTACCCCCAGGGGACACTGGACAATGTCTAGAGACATTTTTGTTGTTTGGTTGTCACAGTTGGAGAGTAAGGGAGTATATAACTGGCATTTAGTGGGCAGAGGTCAGGGAGCTGTCAACCACCCTACAGTACCCAGGACGCCCCTCACAGTGCAGATTTAGCCCAATTGTTGAAGGTGTCAAGGGTGAGAGCCCTCACAAAGCACCATATTTGGTTCTCAGGGCTGCCGTCACAAAGGACCACAAACCGGGCAGCTTCAAACAGCAGCAATGCATTGTCCCACAGTTCTGGAGGCCAGAAGCCCAAAGTCGAGGTGTCCTCATGGCCGTGCTGCCTCTGGAGGGGCTCGGAGGAAAACCTGTCCTTGCCTCTCTGGCTTCTGGGGATTCCTGGGGATCCTTGGAGTTCCTTGGCCTGCAGATGCACCACTCCAATCTCTGGCTCCGCCTTCACGTGGCCGCCTTTCCTCTGAGTCTGTGTCTCTCTCTCTGGCTCGCCCCCTCTGTTATAAGACACAACTCAGATGGGATTAGGACCCACTCTACTCCAGTATGACTGCATGTCAACCTACCTGAGAACATCTTCAAAGGTCGTACTTCCAAAAGGGTCACATTCATGAGAACCAGAGGTTTGGACTCGAACAAATCTTTTGTGGAGACAAAAATCAACCCACAACAAGCTTATTAAAGGGTCAAGTGCTTGGAATAGCCATTTCACCAAGAAACTTATACAAAGAAATAAGTAGATGAGAAGAGAGTGAATGCCATTTGCACTTAGGGAAATGCCAGTCAGAACCACAATGAGATATCACTTCGCCTCTTGCTAGAATGGCTATGATCAGAAAAGTGGAGAACAGCAAGTGTGGGTGAGGATGTAGATAAATTGGAACCCTGATCCGTTGTTGGTAGGATTGTAAAATGGTACAGTTGCTGTGGGAAACAGCTTGGTAATTCCTCAAAAAGTTAAACATGGAATGACCATGTCTTTGTTGTGTGCCATCCAGTCAATTCCACACCATAGGACAGAGTAGAACTGCTCCACAGAGTTGCCTAGGATGAAATCTTTATGGGAGCAGATCATTGGTGGCTCTGGATCATGGACCTTCCAGTTAGCACCCAAGTGCTTAACCACTGGGTCACCAGGGCTCCTTGGAATTACCATATGACCCAGCAATTCCACTGCTAGATATACACCCCAAAGATTCAAAAGCAGGAATGCAAACAGAAAGCAGTATATACCATTATTTATTGCAGTATGATTCATGATAGCCAAAATATTGAAATAACCCAAGTGTCTATCGACAAATGAACAGATGAACAAACTATGGTATATACATACAGTGGAATGTTATTTGCTCATAAGATAAATGAAATTTTGATACATATTACCACATGGATGAACCTTGGAAACATTATACTGAGTTTAATAAATGAGACACAAAAGGACAAATACGTATGATCCTCCTTGAACTATCTAGACTAGGCGAGTGTGTGGAGACCAAAGTTTACTAATGACTGACTCATGGGAGGGGGAAGGAGGGAAGGAGAGTCATTGTTAAAGGATTGCTGAGTCTGTTAAGGGTGATGGGAATTTCATAATGGATAGTGGTGATGATTGCACAACATGGTGAATGTGATTAAATTTCACTGAATTGTTTATGTAAAAAGAGATGAAATGACCAAAAAAAAAAAAAAAAAAATAGTCAAGAGCTATCAAAAATAGAGTGTGAAGATTGTGGAGGATAGGGCAGTGTTTCATTCTGTCACTATGAGTTGAAATCAACTCTATGGTACATGACATCAACAACATCAAACAAAGAAAGAGAAGAAAGAAGGAAAGAACATAAGAAAATAATTAAGAAAGAAAAAAGCCATCAAGATAATGGTCTTGAGAGTGTAGGTAGCTTGGCCATACTGTGTTTTGCTAAGAAGGTTATTTTCTTTTTTCATCAAGTATTTAGTATGTTCCATCCCCTTCTAAACACACTCAATCTTCTTGAATCTTATCAATAACCTTCCAAAATAATAATTATGATCCTCATTTTATTCAACAATTGTATTCACATGCACACTTCCCCACCTTGGTCCAGAAGGAAGGAGAGAGACCTGTTGTGTTAGCTGCCACCGAGTCAACCGCCAGCTCACAGAGACCCCATGCAAATGGAACGAAACCCTGTCCGGTCTGGCACCTTCTCCAAGATTGGCTTTTGATCGGACCACTGTGGTCCACAGATTTTATGCTGGCTGAGTTTTGGAAGTAGCTCTCCAGGCCTTTCTTGCTGGTCTGCCTTGGTCTGGCAGTTGTGCTGAAATCTGTTTGGTATCCTAGCAACCAGCAATCCTCCACTGACAGACGGGTGGGGGCTGCCTGTGAGATGCATTGCTGGTCACATGTGATCAAGTAAAATGAAAAGTCAGGAGGAGCGAGCACGTGAAATGAGGGGGAGGAAGATCACATGACACTAGAGTAAGGCTTATACACAGACTTTAGACCCTGAGTTCCAGATTCTTGATAAATGGGCTCCCTGCCTCCTTGTAGCAGGGCACAGGGGTCAGTTACTTGAACCAGACTCTGGAGACACCAAGGGATTCTCTGAGGAGCCTCTCAGACATGACCAGTAGAACTGAGTCCTCACTGAACTTTTCATAAATACAGATGTTGTTCTTAGGTGCCCTTGTGTTGATTCTGACTCGTAGAGACTATGTACAACAGAACAAAAAATTGCCATCCTCACAATCCTGATGTTGGTGCTCATTGTGGCAACCATTGTTGGATTGTGTCGATCCGTCTTGTTGAAAGTCTTTTCCTTTTTCACTGAACCTCTAACTTCCCACTGTGACATTCTTCTCCAGAGACCGGTCCCTCCTGACAACATGCCCAAATGCTAAAGATGAAGACCTGCCATCTTCACTTCTAAGGAGTACTCCAGCTTCATCCGAGACAGATTTATTCGTTCTTCTGTCAGTCCATACATAGTCAACATTCTTTGCCAATGCCATAATTCAAATGCACCAATTCTTCTGCCCCCTTCCTTATCTGTTGTCCAGCTCTCACATGCGTATGAGGCAGTTTAAAACACCATGCCTTGGATTAGGCACACCTTAGCCCTCAAAGTGAAATCTTCACTCTTTAAAGAGGTCTTTTGCAGCAGATTTGCCCAATCCATCCTTTGATTTCTTGATTGCTACCTCCACAGGTGTTTATTGTGGATCCAAGAAAAATTAAATCCATGGCAATGTCAATCTTTTCTCCATTTATCATGATGTTGCTTGTTGGTCCAGTTGTGAGGATTTTTGTTTTCTTTATGTTGCAGCATAATCCATACTGGTCTGTAGTCTTTGATCTTCATCAGTAAATGCTTCAAGTCTTCTTCACTTTCAGCAAGCACTGTTGACATCTGTATATGTTGTTGTTGTTAGGTGCCGTGGAGTTGTCTCCAGCTCATAGCAACCCCATGCACAACAGAATGAAACACTGCCCAGTCCTGTGCCAGCCTCACAATCCTTGCTATACCTGAGTCCATCGTTGTAGCCACTGTGTCAGTCCATCTCATTGAGGGCCTTTCCCTTTTTTGTTGACCCTCTGCTTTACCAAGGATGGTATACTTCTCCAGGGAATGGTTTTTTCTAACAATATGACCAAAGTAGGTGAGATGAAGTCTGGCCATTATCATTTCCAAGGAGCATTCTGGCTGCACTTCTTCTGGGACAGATTTGTTAGTTCTTTAAGCAATCTGTGGTACTTTCAGCATTCTTTGCCACACAACTCAAAAGCATCAGCTCTTCTTCAGTCTTTCTTATTCACTGCCCAGCTCTCACATGCATAAGAGGTGATTGAAAATACCATGGCATGTGTCAGGAGCACCTTAGTCTTCAAGGAGATAGTTTGC